TTGGTGCCACCACAAACCCAGAATTGTTTATTGCATAATGCTAAGGGTGCAAAGAAGGTAACAGGGACCACCTGCTTTAACACATTAGGGGTGCTCAAAGCTGCTCCTACTTGAGTTCCTACTTGAGCTCCTACTTTGTCACTTTTTGCTGGGAGCTCTGTCAAAATTCTGGAGTAGGAAACCAAGTAGGAAACCAAATAGGGACCAAATAGGAACAGCTTTGAGCAGGTAGGGTCACAAATTTCACAAGTAGGAAAGAAATAGGGACTTTTCCTACTTCGCCTCTCCATCAGCTGTCTGCCACATCAATTACTTTAGCAAACTCTGAAGTGAAGTTGTATTGTCAGATCAAGCAGAGATCAGAAGCTGATGATAAGCAAAGGCATGGGAGAATTCCCTATATTTTCTGAGAAGCCCTATTTCTTTCCTACTTGTGCTATCATCAATCCCTGGCCCTTTTTCTTGCATGAAAAACTTACATTTGTATTCATTTATTGCACTTTTCATATATAATGATATTTGAAAAGAAAAAGATTTGAGATTTGAGAAGGCAAACCAGAGCTATTAGATCTGAGGCAAACCTGAGGGCACCAACCATGACCACAGAGATTTCGGGGGCTGTGATCGAGCAAGTCGGTCATACCTTTTCTGGCTAACCATCCACCCCAAAAGTATTCTGTCAGGGTCAGTTATCCCAAATAAGGCTTGCCAATCTTCCATCTTGGTGTCGTCAGTGTTCATTAAGTGCACCAGCAGGTTGGCAATCTCAGATCAGCCCAAGTTAGCCCCAAGCTGACCCCCCCATGACCTGCTATGCCAACTTCAAAACTTTTTTCTTGAGTATCATTATTTATGAAAAGCACAATAATGAAGAAAAATGAAGAAAAATATTTCAGAGCATTTTAGAGGTGAAACAAGCAACATAAGAATCAAAACAATGACAAGAGCAGAGTGTGAACATGGCATTGCAGAGTAGGAGCATGAGTAGGGCCATTTTTTGAAATAGGGCCACCTTGCCTTCCTATTTACTGTCTCTAATTGGCCTTCTAATCACCCTTTCTTTTTGGTTAGGCAAGCAAGTAGGAACCCATGTAGGAACACAAGTAGGAGGCAAATGAGAAGAAAGTAGGAGCAGCTTTGAGCACCTCTATTGGAATGAACTTATTGTGCTTTTCAAATACAATGACATTTGAAAAGAAAATGTTTTGAAGTTCAAGAGGGTCAGCTTGGGGTTGACTTGGGCTGACCTGAGGCGTTTTTAAAAGATGCCACCTTGCCAGATTACTTAACAAATGCTGACAACACTGAGGGTACCATCAGTGAGCCTTATTTGGGATGACTGACCCCTGCAAAATTCTTTTGGAGGTTGACTGTTAGTCAGAAAAGGCATGACTGACCTCCCTGACCAGCGCTCAGAATGACACCAACAATCTCCACAGTTGTGGTTGGTGCCCCTCAGATCTGATGGCTCTGCTTGACCCTGCTGACCTCATCCACCAATTTCAATTTTTTCTTCTCTCGAGTGTCATTATTTATGAAAAGTGCAATAAACGGCACTAAGTAAGTCCAGTTTATTGCTTGAATTCAAGCACAGCCACTAAACCACTTAAATTTGAGATCATGCTAAGCATGAGCCTGAGAGCATGACAGAAGATAAGTGATGGCAGGAGACGCCCTCACAAAGGTGTTGCCATGTTGATGATGGATTGATGACAGCCAGCATCATTGTGTGATGCGGCAGGGGTATCTCGCGAATGGTGTCATTAGGTGCCATTGGGGCACAGCAGATTATCTACATATGCATAGGTAAAATACATAAATTTTGTTATGGCTTCTGCAGAAAGAGAAAATTTGAGGTTGAGCAGTGTGGAGAGCTCAAAGACAAGCCCATGACATGCTGATGGCAAGCCCATGGGCTGTCTGATGGGTGATGGAATGCCCTGAACGAGTGAACTGGCTTGCAAACTAAGCAAGAATTTAGCAGGCACAACTCTGCACGAGCACTGAGCTGGCTCTTCCAAGCATTGATCCACCTAAATTGATCTTAAATTGATCTTAAATCTAGTTTTCTGCATGCTTACCTCCACTTACCTCCACTTATCTCTTAAATTTAACCTCAGAACCCTTAAATTTAGTCAATGGGATCCAAAATTTGGCCCAGAGGATTGGTTTTCATGTAGAGCACATTGTATTTCATGTATTTAGCTATTTACAACGAGGGAGGGCAGAAGTTGTTCAATCTCTGCCAGGGAGCTTAATTTCAATTAGGAAGTCAGAATTCTGGAATCGTTTGTCAGCCTGCCCCGCCTTTGTTTGTTATTTGGCCACCTAGGCGGGACATAGCCGCCAAGTTAGTCGCCGCACAATCTCTCAGAATCCAGGCGTCGCCAAACAAACATTTCGTGCCAGTTCAAGTGCACACCGATGCCATGATGAACTAGGGATTACATTATCAAGCAGTAACAAATGATACAATGTTGACACAAAATGAGGGACTACAAAACAACCTGCAGGTGCTCTGCAGCGTGAGCAATGAGCGAACCTCAGGCTCACCGCTCGAATCCTCTTCATGCACCGATTCCGCCTCCAAATCAATGCCCTCCTCCTCCACCATCTCTGTCTCCTGTCTACCACTGGACATCACGAGTCGTTGAGAAGCACGAGGGGGCGAACATTGGTGAGGTGAGAGTGATACAGCCATATGAGGATGAAGCCACAGTGATGAGGGTGACAGTGCGAGGGCAAGACCGGGACCGAGACTGAGACCACAATGATGCCGAGGGAGAGATAGGCAGAAGGACCACAACAGTGAGCGGAGCAGGGTCAGCAGGGCTGTAGGGTGAGGACAGTGTAGAAACAAGCAAAAACCAATGCGGGGTGTGTAAAGAGACAGACCCTAGCCTGCCCAAGCCAACATCCCGCCAAGACCCTCACTCAGCTCATGCACCCCCTCATCTATTTAACAACATGCCTGAAAGCAAAAATATGCATGAACACCAGTGGCCATGGCAAGGTGATGGCTACAACAATGCGACGACCACAGTGGCCAGAGCGGGACAAAAGGGGACGACAAGGGTGACACAGGAAGACGGCGAGACAACGGCGAGGGCGGGCAAAGGCGGGGGAGGACAATATGAATAGGATGATGAGCTGAAGCTGAATGACGGGTATTGGCAGGGGCAAGCCAGGAGCCAATCATGACTTGCATCTTGCATCTCCCATTCTGGCAATGGCACTGCGCTGAGGTGGGCGGGGAGAGTTTGCGATGAACAAACAAGGGCAGGATTATTTTTGGAACCTGCCTCAGTAAAATTAAGCTTCATGGCGGAGTTGTAAAACTGGAGGGCAGATATGCAATGATGGTAGATGAGGGGCAATGATGTGCACAGCTCCAACAAGCATGTGAGCCCAAAACACAAGCCGTGAGAAGCCATCATGAGCATCTGTCAGAGCTCAAATGCCTGCCGCTCAGATGTCGAAAGCCATGGAAATAGGGCTCGGACCGCCAAAAAGGACAGTTCGTCACAGTGTGACGCGGACGCCCCAAACGAGCGAGCCGCGTTGCCGACCCGTGGGGGCTCAGCCCACGGCGGGCACGAGGTGGGCGCGAGACGGGCTGGCTCCCCGCTTAGCGTCCCATCACTCAAACCAAGGCCGCGTGGGCCTGATATGGTGCGCGAGCGCTGAGTGTGCGCATCGCCGAGGGGAAATGAGGAAAGGAAGGGGAGAAGAATAAGGAAGGAATAGAAAATGTAAATAACTTACCTAAATTTTGATACCATATTGACAATGAAGGGGGTGCATTGTGCTGTTCTTGAAATGGGGTGTGTTGGTGGGAGAGGAAGAGAGGAAAGCTAGGATGACTTGATGTGTATAGATATTGTGTCCTTGACGCGCACACAACGCGTGCGCGTTGTAATTTACGTACGTTGATCCGAACTGGGAGCCTGAGCGAGGTGAGCTGCCATGCCAGTGTGACACTTGCAGGGAAGCCGCTCGAAAAACCGTCTTTGATGAACTGGCCATCAATTTCCGAAGCCGTCATGGGCCACAAAAAGGACGGTTGGTCAAAAAAAGGACAGTCAGGGCACGTCTTTTCATCAAATTTTAACTATATCTGGACTGACAACCAACAGTTCATCAAATAAAAGACGGTCTCCAACCATCAAAAGACAGTTTCGCTAGTCGGATCGTGCATTTATGTATTTACAGAGCGTTCTAAATAAAGCTATTATGTATGTAATTCTAGGCCTCAAGCCCCCTCGGCTGCAGCACGAGCCGCTGTGCGTCGGGCCTTGCTGATGGCAATGCGCTCCTCCTTTGTCTTGTAGGAGTACGTGCAAATAATGTTGCTTGCCTAATATTTATGCCATAGGTGTGATTAGCCTGAGTACCACATATGAAGACTGGGTATTGACGTACCCAATGGAGGACCGCCTCATGGTCTTCTTGGCTTCCTGGTGCATGTGTTGGCAGTGGCGGTGGGGTGCACGCTGCACGGACAGGAGGGGCCGGGGCTGGGGCGGGTCCCACTTTTTTTGCAGCGCCCTGACGGAAGGCAGGACCATGCCGAGCGCCGAGCGCGTAGCCGCACAGGAACGCGACGACGAGCACGAGCGCGTAGGCGCCCGTGGCAGTGGAGACGCCCATGATAGGGGCCAATCATCCCAACAGGGATGTGTGCCAGCCGTTGTTGTGCAGGCCGTCGATGGCCTGTGAGACAGCCGGAGGGACTGCCGACCTAGGGAAAAAAAGAAGGGCATGTCAGCATGTGTCAGCCATCCCAGAGCGATAGACGGCGTGGGAGACGAAGGGCTCCGAGACAAATACGCGCAACGCGGGGTGACAGAGGGGAAGACAGTACCCCGGCCTGGACACGCCGGTGGCTGTGCCGAACCGTCCACGAGCCGTGACGGACCAGATCACGTGTGTGATCGGACCGTCGTTCTGCCGAGAGAAGTGCCTGAGACATGTGCACACTGTCACAATCTGTGACAGTCATGCCTGACATAAGGCTGACCAAGCTGATGGCTGAGCTGCCGAGACACGGTGAGGTCATCGGCGCCGAAAGAGGCAGCGGCCCGGCTCTGGGCCCTTAAATTTTGGGGCATAAGTTGATAAACTCCTCGTGATCTAATCTTATCAAGTGGCTGTGCAGCTTATGGTGTCTAATCCAAGTCGGCTGCAAGGCTTATACATACAGCTTTTTCTTATTCCTACCACGGAGGTCTGGTTTACCTCATAATGTTCTTTCTAAACCTCCCAAAGTCTTTAATATGCTCGTCGTTCCTGTTCCTGACAGCCGCTGTGCCAGTCAGCGCGGGGATTGAGCTGACAATGGACAACTTCCCCACAACCGTCGACAAGGGCCTGTGGTTTATCGAGCACTTCTCTCCTTATTGCGGACACTGCAAACACTTCAAGCCGACATGGGACCAACTCGCGAAGGATGCGGAGGAGGAGATACCCAGCGTGAAGCTTGCAACGGTAAACTGTGTTACGCAAGGAGGTGTGTAGTCTCACTTCGAATCTCCTTCTGCCATCTGACGAACCAGAACAGATCTATGTAACCAGAACAAAGTGACGGGGTACCCTCAGCTCATGATGTACGAAGACGGGAAGATGGTCAGCCAGTTCAAGGGCGCTCGCGAGATGGACGCTCTCAAGAAGTTCATCAAGGGACACGTCAAAGAGGAGCCAGCCCCACCACCACCGCCTCCTCCTCCACCTCCAGCACCAAAGGCTGCCCAGGAACCGCCCAAACCCGTTCTGAACACCGCAGGGGAAGTCGTCACCCTCACAGCCGAGACCTTTGGGAGAACGCTCGCGCAGGGGCCCGCGTTCGTCAAGTTCTTCGCGCCATGGTGTGGGCATTGCAAGAAGCTGGCACCGACATGGAAGCAGCTCGCGCGGCACATGCAAGGGAAGCTCACCGTCGCCGAGGTCAACTGCGACGATTCCGGTTCATTGTGCAAGAAACAGAACATCCAGGGCTACCCCACACTCGTTTGGTTCGGGCAGGGAGAGAATGAGGATGGGCGGTCGGAGTACACGAGTGGACGGAAAATTGATCAACTGAAGGCATTTGCAGAGAAGGCTAGTGCAGCGGGTGTGCATATTCTGGAGAAGGCGGATGACTTGGATGCACACGTTGCGGAAGCTGATGTCGTGTACCTCCTGCTGCACTCGGCCTCAAGTTCTAACGTCCTGGTAAGTTACTGTCTATTCAACAAATCCATTTCTAAATCGTCATCCCAGAAAACCATTCGTGAGGCCTCTGCTCCCCTTCTCGGTTCGCCCGAGATCTTCGCCTCCTCGTCTGACATCCTCCGGAATCGCTTTTCCATCCCCTCAAGCACGCCATGGGCACTCGTTGCCATTAAGGACCACGACATGAACCTTCCCTCGTCCACCTACCTAGCCACCGGCCACGAGACAGGCACCGATGCGGACCTGCGTAAATGGCTGCTGACACACCGAGTTCCAACGGCAGTCGAGCTGACGCAGGACTCATTCCAGGGCGTGATGAACGCCCCGCAGGCGCCTCTGGTCGTCATCGTGTCGGCTTCTGGCACGGAGGGCTCGTCGGTTTCAGAGCAAACGAAGGCGAAGATTCTCCGCCGCATTAAGGATGTTGCGAAGAAATGGCGAGTCCGGACAGAAGGCAGCGGACTCACGCACGGACGTGAAGTCGTCTTCGCCTGGATGGACGGCAGTCGATGGGCTGAGTGGCTCAAGAGCATGTACGGCTTCGATGGTGCCCAAGTTAATGAGAATGGTGACGAGAAGCACGAGGTGGAGAACGTTCGCGTCGTCGTGGCTGATCACTCCGTACGTCTCTTTTCGACTTGAAAATTCTTTCGCTGACGCCCTTCTGCCCTTTTTGGATGTTCCAGAGACTCGTTTACTACGATGGTGACCGCACCGGTAATGCTATTAAGTTCACCTCGTCTGCGAGCATCTTCGCAGCAGTCGAGGACGCTGCCTGCGGCAAGAGCCAGTACAAGCACTCTGAAAACTTGATCGAACGCATGGCTAGGGTATATATCTCCGCTCACTTGCTCTGCAATGCTCTAACGTCACCCCTTTCTATCGCAGTACCTTAACGGCAAGATGACTACGATCGAGTTCTTCGTTGTGAATAAGCCCTTGCAAGCCGTCTTTTACTTCCTTGTCGCGGTGATCGTGCTCTTCTGGGTCCTGAACAGGATGATTGGTAATGATGTTCCCAACATGCAGGAAGAGTGGAGAGAGAACAAGGGCAAGAACGGTCGGTTAGACTGATTTCTTGCAAGCTGTGGGCACAAGAGGAGTATTCTATCTATTCATTCTACACAATGAGGATGGGAGAGTCGGGGTTTGTGTAGCATCTAATCCTAATCTATTGCATTCGGAAAAGCCTTCAACTCGAAGCTTGAAGTATCTCGCAAGTACTAGTCTCGTACGAAGACCCGTCAGATCGTCTTGCGATTGCATTCGAATAAATTACGCGCGAAGGTCCAAAAATCAGCGTAACTTCAAGATAGTGGGGGAAGGGTGGGACTAAATTTGTCAGCATTATGGAGAACCATCGCAGGCCTCTCACTGTGAAAGTACACTCCAGATGGATATTTGTGGTCTTTGCGGTAGCCCAACATCGGAAAGGCTCAGGAAGACATCGACTCGGTTCTTATCTCCTGCATGCGAACCCTGTTCAAAAATCGAAGAAGTAGAAGCCAAAATTCTTGAAACTCGGTCGTTGCTTTCTCAGCTCCTTGATCAACAATCCAACCTCAGAATCCACATGAATCAGGCTCACGACCCTATGAACAAGCTTCCTCCAGAAGTTGTGTCTCGAATTTTCGCGCTTTGTCTACGGAAACGCGTCCAGCAGCTCAATCGGTTCGCCCAGGTTTCAACGGTTTCAGACACAAGTAGCCCCCTCATGTTCGGAGGCGTTTCTCGTCGATGGCGCACTATAGCGTGGCATACACCTTCTCTTTGGACAAGAATCCGCGTTTTCATCGACCGCCGCAATCCACAGTCAGAAGAAATGGTCGGACAGTGGCTTGCACGATCAGGGTGTTTGCCTCTCTCTATTCATGTACTCCATCGACAAAGTCGGTTATCGGATAGCTCCTCATTACACCCCCTTATCAATGTTCTTAATCGGTACTCCAACCGTTGGGAAACTCTTGACCTTCAGGTTCCGCTTTCCCTCGTCTCTCGTTTCAGAGGCTCAGGGCGAGCTTCTATTCTCAAGAACCTGTTCATCCATGACTTCTGCGATGGTGTCCGGTTCCATCCGCGCAGAGGCACCTTCATGATTGAAAACGTACTGCCTACACCTGTTGAGGTTCAAGTTGAGGGAATACCATTCCGGTCCTTAGCAATCGCCTGGAACAACGTTACTCGCGTCAAACTCAGTGAAATGTTTGGAGGAGAACTATCCCATTTACATACTCCAGTTAGCTTGCGTCATGACAATTTGCTATGTTGACAATGTTAAGGAAGGCGACGGGAGCTTTGGTCCTCCTCAGAACCTCACCCACCACCAGCTTCAAGATTAAAATGCCGAATTTGGAAGTAGTTCTGTGGCAGAGTGGATTCTCTCAAGATTAACCCAGCCTGACTTCCTCTACAACGACTGTGACGTCAGCATCTTACGCTCCCTCGTGGACCGCTCCGCCCCTCCCTTACGAGACCTTCACCTCGCATATGTTTTAGCAACAGAGGAAGAACTCATCGACCTCTTCTACTGCATTCCGTCTCTCAAGAAGCTGGACAGCTTGATCTGGGAGAAGTTTTCTTGAAGCTGCTCGCCTCCACGGCTATCGTCTCTCCTAGCAGCAAACACACAACTAAATTCCTACCAAACCTCAAAGAACTAACCGCGTGGCTCGAAGCATCGTATAGCTGGCGCACGTTTGCGTCGATAGTCCCATCAGGGTCGGTTCCAGCTCTCCACCGCTTCAGACCATTGCGAAAAGTGAAAATCCACTGTATGCACGACACTGATGACGACTTTATTGACGAGGAGGCTGTTTCGCAACTGATGGCTGTCCGCAATCGTGGAATCGCACTTGAGGTCACGAACGAACAAACTGGCACTGACTTCATTGACGACTCTTGGCAATATCATGAAAGACGGAAGGCGGGTGTTGCTAAACACTCTGAAGGCGAAGACGTAGAAGGTTGAGGATGTTTCAGAAAATGACGACGAGGATGAATGAGGCATTAATCTTCCGGATGTGCACAAGTGAGCCATTTTGCCTCTAATGCCATTATATTCCATAACCCCTGCTCAGTGACAGAAGGTGAGGAGCGTTCGCCACACATTGCAGATATCATCGGCATAAAAACACGTTGAATCGCTTGTGTTGTCGTATTACTCAAAATGCAAAATGTGTTCCTTCGATTGCCAACCTCATGGCCATTTCACTGCTCGTCGCAGATCTCCTGAACGTACCTTCCGAGTCCATGGTGGGCAGCCATCGCACAATTATGCACTGCTGGGTGGAAGGCCGTTGGGAAGATGTTCGGACGGGCCTACCGTCTTGAAAATGAGTAAGACCTCGGCGGAGTGGGTGCTAAAATTTACTGTCTCTCCCCCGTACGAAGCCGTCCATGCCACTTCTCAAAGCTGCGCGAAGCGTCTTTCAAAATTCCTTTCTTCTGTGCCACCGCGTTTGGGCCAAATTTGTCCTTTGTAGAAGCGTTCATTGGCGTTTATTCTGGCAAGGGAAATAATTGCACTTCCGCATGACGATTTCCTCCCGTCCATGACCGCCAGCACGAGAATGACCTCCGGCATGAACCCACAATCCGCTCTACTAGGCTTTACTTTCCGTTGACAACCCGAGATGCACCGCTCGTGTACGCTCGGGTAGTTCGGGATGTGTTCGCCTAACTTGGGCAGGATATCCAGAAATAGTCTCTGAGCTGCGGAACAAGACGGGATGACGCCACTTACCCCATACAACGCCGTTCAAGCCAAATGTGTCTTCGCCGCTTTCACTGCGTCATCATGTCGGGAGGATCCGAGTGGGTTACAGACCGGTGCTCTCATGGTGCCTCCTTTACTTTCCGCAAATGTCCTTCCTGTGTAGAGGCAGACCAGGTTTTAAAAGCCTGGCGGTTTGGCCTCAAGTTCCCCATCTCATTCGCCTCTTCTCCTCTCTCAAAGCAGCATTCAAACCTCTAAAACAATCCCCACTTCACAAACAATAATGAAGGCAAGCCTCATTCTAGGATGTCGATTCAATGAATGATGACACTAGGCGGTATACTAGGTCCTTGCAATCCTCTATCAAGGTGGTGAAGCCGCTACCAACGAACCCCGCCTTCTGGGTACCGTCGAGAACAAGGTAAATCACTTTTCTTGGTCCTGAAAACTTTTGGTACTTATTCCTGGGTTAGCTCGGAATTAAGGATTGGCTCGAGGCGCAAGGACATGAATTCATTGGTAAGTTCATCGTAGCATTCTTTGGGCAATGGTGATATTGATTTCAACCTGTTCCAGTATGTTGCGAAAAGTATATTTCCCGTAAGATAATTCTTACATGTTCATAGGTTTCCAGCAGCAAAGAGGGTCCTGATAGTGACTTCCAGAAGCACATTGTCGACGTAGGTCTTCGTAGCGTTCAGAGAGTTGTTTGTCAGATCTGACCTTGATTCTAGGCCGAAGTCCTAATCACCACTCCTTTCCACCCTGGGTAAGAGATACAAAGGCAACACCCGTAAGTATAAACAGCTTTCTAATCACTCGTGATAGATACTTGACTCGAGGACTTATGGAAAAGGTGGATCTCTATCGTTATTTTCCACTCCGATTTAACTGACAATCGTCGAATCCCAGGCGAAGAACCTCAAAATCTGCGTCACTGCCGGTGTCGGCTCAGACCACATCGACCTCGACGCAGCCGTCGACCATAACATCGAAGTCCTCGAGGTATTCCTTTCACACCTCCACCGTACCTCCCATCTCTAACCCACACAAGGTCTCCGGGTCCAACGTCGTCTCCGTCGCCGAGCACGTCATGATGAGCATCCTCCTGCTCGTCAGGAACTTCGTCCCCGCCCACGAGATGATCGAACGCGGTGACTGGCAAGTCTCCGAGATCGCGAGGAACGCGTTCGACCTAGAAGGCAAGGTCGTGGGCACCCTCGGTGCAGGCCGCATTGGCTACCGCGTCCTCCAGCGCTTGGTCCCATTCAACTGCAAGGAGCTCCTGTATTATGACTATGCGCCCCTTCCCGCAGCTGTTGCTGAGTCTGTCAAGGCTCGCCGCGTCGAGGACCTCAAAGAATTCGTTTCTCAGGTTCGTATCCCAAGCTGCCTTCGTCTTTCTGTTGAATTAAATCCTTTCTATCTAGTGCGATCTAGTCACCATCAATGCCCCTCTCCATGATGGCACCCGCGGTCTCATCAACGCCAAGCTACTGAAGCACTTCAAGAAGGGCGCCTGGATCGTTAATACCGCCCGCGGCGCCATCTGCGACAAAGACGCCATTGCCGCCGCCCTCGCCAGCGGCCAGATCACCGGTTACGCTGGCGACGTCTGGAACGTGCAGCCTGCACCGAAGGACCATATCTGGCGCACAGTGAAGAACCCCCTCGGCGGTGGAAACGGTATGGTACCGCATTACTCTGGCACGACTCTCGACGCCCAGGCGAGGTATGCCAACGGGACGAAAACGATCCTGGAGAATTACTTCCAGAACAAGCCTCAGGAGCCGCAAAACATCATTGTTGGCAAGGGCAAATACGAGACCAAGGCTTACGGCCAGCGCTGAGAAGCTTCTATACATACTGCCTTTGGTTTCGAAAAAACTTTTCGAGCATGCTACTTAATGTAGTCCTCATACTTAATTGCAATAACCCCCAGACAATTTCTGTGCCTTTCAAGTCAACTGGATCTTCGCAACCCCACAAGTATATAAGTCGAACAAGCTGCAGAAGACAAAGTTCAAGACAATCTTAATGTACAAGTAATTTACTTTTACAGCACCAACCAAATCAGTAGAAATCGGCAGCGTCGTTATCCATGACAACCTTCACCTTCCACTGGCTCAGCACGTCGCAATCTGGGTCCTCCTCTGCCCACGCCGCGTCAACGTCTATACCCGCTAGGTCACCTACATCCGCTGCACTATTTCCGTTCTCCATCCCTAAGCTTGCAACATGAACGGGGGTTCCTGCTTCGCCAGCACTGTGGGTCTCTGGTGCGGAAGTTGGTGTTGGTCCGGAGCCTCCGAAAAGAGCAGAGGTCTGTGAGCCGGAAACAACAGTGTCGATGTCGACTTCCTCTTCTTCGGCTTTCATCTTGCGTTCAAAGAGGACCGCTTCGTCTTCCTACAGAGAAAAGAGAGCGTTTCAATGACTGCTGTCAACCACAGGAGGGGGGAGAGGGGCTGACAATATCGAACTCGTCCTCGCGTTCCTCGTACTCGACATTCTCATCGACCTCCTCGAAACCACCGGCAAAGGCGCCCCATCGTTCCGGCGTCGGGTTGTGCCATATGAGAATGCTTCCGTGGTTTGTTGTCGAAGCTAGAGAGGACTTTGTGGGATGCCACTGTAGAACAGACGTCAGATTTGAAGCAAGAGACGGTAAGGTAATGCATACGTGGAGGTATGTCAATGGTTCACGCCCTCCGTCAAGCGCAGTGGCTAGTTGGCCGTCGTTTGACAGATCCCAAACATATATTTTGTGCCCAGCAGGGTCTGCAGAACCTGTTCACAGTTCTTCATACAAGCTCCTGAATCCTGCAGTACGACGTACCTCCAGCAAGCCACTCCCCATCCGGACTATAACACATCGCATGCCACGCAGTTTTGTTAATAGGGTCGCTAAAACGATGCGTAGGCTCGAGCTCGACATCAAGGAACGGTGGTTGCTCCGTCTCCGAGATGGGTTGATATGGGGCATAATTCGGGAGGATGAACTGGCGGAGGGTGCGGTCAGATGAATTCGTTACGACGCGTCTGTGCGGCTTCTCGTGAGAAAGGAGAGAGCAGGGCATAGCAGGTGTTTACCGTCCTGCCTTGGCAAAATCGAAGCTTTTCATCGCGCCTGCACCGGAGATTTTGTGTCGAGCTATCATCTGTCAAGGAGTTTGATTGAGCATTTACGCAGACGCAGCGACAAAGCATACCGTTTTCGTCCGTGTGTTGAAGATGAGGATATATCCAGAAGCTGTGCCAACGAAGATGTTTTTGCCAGTGGGGTCAAAACGCGCTGTTGTCATTGGTGCACTAGATTCTGCCAACATGAGGAACAGGAAACGAATGTCAGAAGCGGGGGCATACCGTGGTGGGATATCTTCCTCGTCTCCTTCGTCTGGGATCGTCTCCAGCAATTCTACCCTCGACTTGTGTTGCTTTCGCAGATCACAGACGTAGGCTTCACCTGTTGCGAGCACGGCGAGAATTACCTGACTGCCGGCGGTGGGTGAGAGGGAGGAGAGACGCAACAGACGACACATACCTGTTCTTAGGGTGAAAAGACGCGGACATAACGGGTGCATCGAAGCGAATGGCAGCGTGTCGCTGTGGAGGGTCGCATGTTGAAGATAGGTCCCATATTAGAACATTCCAGTCTTTTGCGGAGGTCAAAAGATATCGAGAATTGCGTGACCAGCTATGGTGGGTGAGTTGAAGACCTCAAGACTTCTGCGTGGAGTCACGTACTCTATGCTGGTGATCGTCTTTACGTGCCCATCGTACCACCGAATAGGAGCGCGTGTCTCCAGGTCCCAAACCTCTGCAGAGCCATTCAGACGCGCCGCAGCAATGAACCGTCCTGTAGGATCGAACTTCGCGAAAAGGGCACCAGCAAACAGAGAGGTTTGAACAGCAGTTGGATGGGAAAGGGTACTGAATGGGTCTTCGAAAATATAGCCTCAGCGTTGTGGTTAGTTCGAAAAGTCAAAGGTCACACTGATTAGAGATTCATTCATGGTGCAGAGGCTGGGCGCTGAACTTGAGAGAGGTCGGTCGTCTATTAGTTCTATAGGGATTTGAAGGGCGTTCTCGCGAGCACAATAGCAAGGAGTATAGTCGGAGTGTTAGGGCCTCAGGCCGCTATGGCGACATAGACGTGGCGGGTGAGACCAAGTTGCATAACGTTGCGTGCTCATCGACATCGACGCTGACGTTGAGCACCGTATTACTTACGTAATTCACTGATAACATTTCTCTTCCTCACCAAGACTTTCTTCAAGACTCCTTGTATAATGGAAGAAAGACACAGACTCTTACTGACATCCCCTAGTCTGCAAGAAGAAACAGCCCCATTACGATCATCAGGTTCATCCTCGGAAGCCTATATTCTTTCCATTACCTCTTTGCCTTCCCACTACGCGGCATCTGCATCTGCACCTTCAAATGTTATTGATATCTTCGACAAAAGGACGCTTCAAGGCCTGCAGACCCTGCCAGGACATGAAATTGCAACCACGTCTCTTCTTACGGTCGATAAACTGGGCGGAATCGTGAACCAGTGCCTCGTCTCCGCTGGGAAGGACGGGAGCGTCAAGGCTTGGGATGTTCGTTCCAATTCGCATAGTATTAAAAGTCAGTGCCCAATGTGAATATTTCCCGCAGTTTGTCTGACACTAGCTCATAAGATCTCTATTTCAGTGACGAATCTAGGGCAATCTCGTCCTCTGCTATGTTGTGATATTTCGAAGGATGGCTTAACCGTAGCTGCTGGGACTGACCTACAAGGAGACGACGCGTTCATTCTCTACTGGTGCGCCCCTTCACCTCTTACGCAGTAATTTTATTCACTAATTGCCAGGGACCCTCGACAACCAGCTACACCTCTACGAACGCACAGCTCAACCCACTCTGACGATATCACTACTGTATCCTTCGCGCCTACGAGAGATCGGGAAAACGACAAGTACTTGCTCCTTTCTGGATCAACAGACGGCCTTCTCTGCACCTCGAATCCAGATGAAGACGATGAGGACGAGGCCCCGCTCCAAGTGGGCAATTGGGGGTGCAGTATCGCACAGGCTGGGTGGATACACGGCTCCTCGAAGTCAAAATTGGCAGGTATCTGGGCTGGAAGTGATATGGAGACATTTAGCACCTGGACAAACGAAGTATGGCACGCTCAATGAAGACATCTTTCTTATGCTAATTTTGCCCACAGCTCGAGCCTCTCATGAACCTCGACATCCGTTCACCTGTCCTGCACCAAGGTCGGACATGGGTGACCGACTATCTCGTCAAAGCACACAGCACACCGACATCCACGCCGAACCTTAGTGTCTTCGCTGGCTCGAACGAGTAAGCCTGGCATTTAACCTCACCTGATTTTACTTATCAAGCCGAAATCCAGAGGAGACGTTGCATTGCTGTCAAATGTGAACCCCTCAGTGCAAGACGCGCCGTGGTGCTTACACAAGCTCTGGACCCATGGGCACGTCGGAGTTGTACGAAGTCTGCTCTGGGACGAAGAGGTATGTTTATCTTTCTGTTCATGTTAATAGAGACAAGGTCTAAAGGAAGAGCAGCATCAAACGCTCATCACTGGAGGTGAAGACGGCAAGCTTAACGCGTGGCCTATCGATCCCGTCATGCCAGAAGACAATGGGCAAGACGAGGAGGCGCAGGGGGATACCTCCATGGACGTGGACATGGCTTCGCCGAAGCAGAAGAGACGCGAACTTGACAGAGATGGGGAACGGGTATGACATTTACCCTGGGCACTTACTCGGAATGCTAAGTCGCTGATTTCTCGTCTGCTTATAGAAAGGCAAACGTGCTAGGCATTAACGTATTGACTCTTTGAGTGTAATCCTGAGACTACCCTAAATGCTGAAGCCGTCGCCGCTTAGCCGTGACGATCGTCTCTCATATGCTGCCTCATATCCCGATACTATACCGAGTCGCAGGCTAATCAAAACTGTCGATCGCGACTTACGCGCAGAGCATGGTCACGTCCCAACGGCAGGTAACAGCTGTGTTCGCACCTCCTGTGTGCTACATTGCAAGGTGGCAACTGGCATCCTCGGGATGTGCTCGCGGTGTCAACTATTTTAATCTTCGTACGCCACATTGCAGAAATACGGGGTAATCCCAACGACATCGAGCAGTGCTTGGAGACAACAGCTGGTGGCATCTCACTGCGATTGAAACTTCCCCCCGTTTGTTTCGACCGGGCTGGCGGAATTGTATGCTTCGAATAACCAGATGGGTTACCACGCGACGCATGTCAAACTGGGACAGCGTACATTGGCATTGGGTATGTGAATTATGTTTAATTTGGCCAGCGATTTCGGGCTCATTCTTACTCATAGTCAGTCGTTGGACTCAAATCGGACGCATGTTTAGTGATCTTCGGTATCACTGCACACCGGTGGCCGATGTGTAGCCAGAAAGTGCTCGGAGTGCGCCTCTTTGATGTCCGAGACCAGGTTTGACATTGATTCCTCGACAGAAACCCGATCCCGAAGGGCGGTCTTACCGGCTGATGTTTACCCACTCTGGGAGGTGGCAAGTCCAAAAGTCCTCCCCTGACCGCCGCCTTGTGGCTGGACTCGATTGATGTCTACCTCAAGAAATTCCCACCATGTTCAGATCGTGATCAATGCCCAGTGAGAGGCATCAAGAGACAGGTAAACCCCACGCAGTGATACGATCGAATCCATGCATCAGTGCTCTGCTAGACCTGAGTAAAGACAGTGGACGTTGGGCGTTGAAGCCCCACAGGTTCATGTCCTGACCAGACCGAGCCCACTTGCCGAGAGCCTGGTACTATAAAACCTTTTCTTTCGTCTGATTTTGTGTGGCTCGAGCCTCAAGCACCCATGGAGAACGCAACTTCGACGAACGTAAACAAGAAACTCATTCTCGTCATTGGGGCGACCGGCGCGCAGGGTATGGAGGTCGTCCCAGCCCTTCTAGCGCCAAACGAGGACGGGACTCCCTCACCTTACGCTGTCCGCGCCGTTACTCGTGATCCGGAAAATAAGCGCGCAAAGGAGCTGCAGGCCATGGGCGCTGAGTTGTTCAAAGGTACTTTGAAGCAATGACGGCGTCTAGTGAAGGGGATCTGAATTATTTGCGAACAGGATCCTTCTACGACGTGAACGCCATGGCCAAAGCGTTCGATGGTTGTTATGGCGCGTTCGTCAATACGGACACTTACACCGTCGGCGAGGAGAAGGAGATTTGGTCTGCTATCAAGCTATATGAGATCGCTAGACGCACACCGAGCATGCGGCATTTCGTATGGAGTAATCTCGACTATGGTAGCAAGGTCAAGCACTCTGTTCTTCTGCCGTCTTTACCATCCTTATTTATTTTTGTCGTAGTTGGGGGATTTCAACCCGATTTACAAGTCGGAGCACCATGATGCAAAAGGGATCGTAAATGATTTCCTCAAGAGTCAGCCTTCGTACCTCGGCGATAGGCTGACTTGGACCTCCCTCACATCATGCGTCTATTTCGAGATGCTTAAATACGTGAGTTTCTTGATATTATACAGTATTCAGATCAGGTTTCTTATTCGACCTCTCATCAGCCTCTCTGTGGTCCGCTGAACATACGTGAGGATGGCACGGTCGTATTCGCCACTCCTCTCGGGAACGGACATGTCCCAATGATTGCTCTGTCCGACCTGGCATGGTGGAACCGCCACGTCCTCAACAACCGCGAGGCAAACTCTGGCAAGGAACTCCTCGTCGCAAGCGACTGGGTCGGGTGGGACTATCTGGTCGATACATTCACCAAGGTCACAGGAAAGCCCGCAGTATACCGACGCCTGTCGCTCGACCAGTGGTTTGCCTGTATGACGGGCCACGAGAGGCCTATTGCGAACGAGAAGAAGACCGGCGATGGCTCGACCACTATTCGGCAGAGCTTCTCCGGATTCTGGTGCCTTTGGAGAGATGACATGATTAAGAGGGACATGGAATGGATCAGGAGCACTCATCCTGAATCGCTGACGGTTGGCGAGTGGATGAAGAGAGAAAAGTACGAAGGGAAGATCGGGGCCACCGCGCTCAAGAATGCAGAGGACGGAAAAGGCCGCGTTGTACCGAACAAATCCGTGACATCTTTATTGTAAATTGTACCCCCCGCAGCTTTCATTGTTCACTTCGATGGGCTTATAGACTTGGAAACCAGCCCCACGACTAGTCCTCTTCGCGTTCTAGAAGCTCCGACGTATAAGCTGAGCCACCAGCTATGCCAGTGCTTTTTTCCTTTTTCCTATCGAGTTACTGTCGAGGACAAAAAACCGATGTTCTCGGGCGGAAGTAAATTTAGAGGAGGGCCGATCGGTGCCTGCAGATACCTGTTTCTGCTTAGAATTTCCTAATTTGGTATCTAGAGATTTTGTGTGGCACCAGCCCAGGCTGTCCTGCCACACAACGCTCCATGCCAAAGCGTTGTGGCCCCGTAGTTTAAATATCATGTTTTCCATATTTCTTCTCCCTCTTTTGCCACACGCTCAGCACTGGTTCTCTCGTACAGACTATGCACCCTACAAAATCCAGCACTTGTCCCGTCCTCAGACGTCCCGCTCCGGCATTCCCTCCAGACATAATTGACTTGGTCGTCGACGAACTCGCCGACAGCTCCATTAGCTACGAGATCCGTCAAGCTCTCATGCAGATTTGCACCGCAGTCTCCAGGTCGTTCCGCTACCGAGCCCGCAGGAATCTTTTCTCTGAGCTGGAGCTCGTCGTGCCTGCCGACACGTATGAGTACTTGCCAATAAAGAGGTTGCGGGAACTCTTCGATAGTGATAACACGCTTCAAGAATACGTTAAGAAAGTCACTCTTATCATCCAGCTCCCCTCGACGACCAACAAACCGCCTGCATACGAGGCCAACATCCCATCATCCTTGAGAAGCTGTACCGCCTCACCGCTTTTGGGATACGCACATGCTGCGCGGGAGTCAGGTCCGAGCTTGTTCCTGCGTTCGATTGGTACAGGTGCAGTGCAGATTGGCGGTCTGCGTTCTGGCGCCTACACCAACATCCGACCCTCCAGACGCTCGAGATTGGACGAAGCTTTATCGTTCACGTCGGTTACATCGTGGAGCAGTGGACTTCGTTGAAGACCTTGAAGCTTGATCCTGGTTGTATTTTCGAGGACGATGCAGATGTACTGGACTCCAATCAGGATGTGGGGCAACCTGAGTCTCTGGAACTGGCTTGTCTAGGCCTCATTGAAAGCCTGCATTGGATGACGGAAGAGCAGCTGAAGATATTTACTGCTCGTGTGAAGAGACTCTACTTTCATGGCATCGTGCCATACTATTCTTTCGACACTCTAATGAACTTCATTGAAACGTGCGTCGCTCTGGAGGACCTACGTGTTATAAGGACTCCTGGTAGTGAGTTAAATTACTTCTCTGGACATTGATCTCGATGACCAACAATTGACGCGCACCCATAGAGTTTCGACGACAAGGAATTGACATCAACGTCAGCTTGGACTCATCGGCGAAGCACCCCATCTATCTTTCCCCTCTCCCGAACCTTCGCACCGTGGAAATCATAGAACCAGGCATATTTCTGGATGGGAGGCCATCAATTCAGGAGGCCTGCCACTATATGTTACCGGTTCTATCACCCGACTCTGTAGTCGAATCTTTGATCCTCCAAGTCGGACTGAACTTCCTACATGGCGTTCAAAGTGGGCTCTTCCCAGAGCACGAGATCCTGGATCCGACTAACTTGCAGTGGTGCGAGTTCGACCGCAGCCTCGCCCGCCTTCATCACCTCAAGCACGTCGAAATACGCCTCAAATTCTGGTATCACTACGCGCTTGGGATCGAGGAGAGAGACGCGATCCGGCGCGTCGTGAGGGAGCGGACGGCCGAGCGTCTCTTTCCGCTGGTATCTGACAAGAAAGCGGCCGTGGTACGCATAGAAATTGAGATGAAGGAGAGGTACCCACCTGGTCCGACACGGGATGTGCAGGGGTATTATGATGTCATGTCGAAATGCTTTCGACTGGGCTGGCATTCAGACAAGACTGGGAGAGAGGAAGCCAACGACAAGAACCTGGCGAGGCAGGCGGAGCTTGTTTGGCGCCTGAGAAATGAACGTTTATAGGACTCGGAAGGGATGAATGTTACGGAATTGGTTTTGAGCGGCAGTGGACGAGTGTAGGTCGAGCCCGAGCTGAAGGTGCAGCGGAAAAACATTTCCCGCGGGGAGGGTCGCTGATGAACATGTTACGAGTCACTTACGTTGAACGCTTGCGGGTCGACGAAGACCGTCGACCATTACACTGCTGCGGCGGGCATTCTGACATAAAATCGTTTATGCAAGAATGCCCGTAGTGTTACTTGAATGGATGGTGAAATTCCTCGCTTAGATTGTGTTACCTGTAACGAGTACCTGACGCGTAGATTTTCTTGAGATACGCGAGGCGTTGTGATATATACTTACCCGGACCGTACGCAGTAAGATTTGGACATGTGCTGATTGTAAGCGAACCTACTTATATCTTGGGTCCACTCCCGAGTCCCAGTTGTCCACAAACGTTCATGTGGGTCTTGTCAGGGTCTTGTTGCCACGAAAAATTACGCGCTGCTGACCGAGTGAAGGGGTTGTCGGTCCCGACCAAAAAAAATTTCAATGAAGAGGGGGTTTATGATAATTACTAGGTACTTTTTACGACGCAATAGAGTTCTCACCAAATGTCGAGGACAAATGTCGCCACCGCCTACACCTTCCTGCCCGTTTCTTTTTGCCACTGTGCAATGGACTCATTGATCTTTACTTCTACTTCTTCCGCAGTGACTTGCTGGCCAAAGGCCTCGACGAACTGACCCTTTGGGTCCATGAGATACACGAAGATCGAGTGGTCGACAAGATAGTCTCCGTTCGGATCAGCGTTGGGAGGTGTGGAGAAATAGACGCGGTAGGCTTTACAAACAGCCTTGGTGGTGTCGTAAGCTCCCACGAGACCAAGGAAGGACGGATGGAAATCTCTGAGATATTGAGCAATACGTGATGGAGAGTCGCGCGCTGGGTCAACGGAGATGAAGACGGGTAGGAATATGTCTCCATGTTCTTTCTCTGAGAATATGATGAGATACATCCGGGAAGAAGAGGGTTCACAGTAAACGCACGGATGTTGTTCATAACAGCAGTTATTTTATCTAGTTCTGCAGGGCAGATATCGGGACAGTTCGTAAAACCAAAGTACACGAGAGACCATTTCCCCAGAAGACCTTCCTGCGTAAATGGTTTGCCATCGTGGGTCGTCAGAGAGAATGGGCCACCGATGTGGGGGCGGCCATACGATTTCAAAGCTCGTTCTTTCTCTACGAGGGATTAGGATCAACCTATTTGAGACCATACAACGAACGCACCTCGTTCTTCCTCTAACCTCTGTTTCTCATTTCGAAGATAGACAGCTAATCCAATCCCAGTCAAAACGAACAAAGCAGCTGCGGTCGGCGTGAAAGCCTAAGGTGTGTTTGAACCTATCGAGGCCGTTCATGATTTGAAAGAACGCACTCACCCCTATGGTGTTTCGTTCCGAGAACTGAGCATAGGTTCGCCGGTGAGTCCGAACAGGCTTTTGGACTGCTTTCACTTTTGATCTGACAATTGCCAATGAATTTGGAGTCAATAAAGGGCCGTCGCTAGTATGAATAGACCTCCAAGATGCGGCCAAGACGCGTCGGGGACAACAGTGTAGTGTTGAGCGCGTTAGGGAGAACATGGAGGAACACCTGTCACGCCTGTCACACCCGACCTGAAGAACAACGTTCCCACCATATTCGCTTTCCCAACAACCACCATCTGCATGTCTGCTCGCTGTTCTCGACGATGTCGGCCACAATGTAACGCTTTTTAAATCAAATTAGTGCGATGGAGAAAGGTTAGATGCGCACCATGGCTACTCTCTGGCCTCGTGAGCTTTCGTCAGCTGGCAAAATCTTCTGGTTGTCTCGTGCGCGTTTCACTTTACGATCGACCCGGCGGCATGTTTTTTTCTCTCTTTGAGGTCACATGCAAGCGCCGAACGGAGCAAACAGAGCACCCCCAGAATTCGAGAATTCGAAACGTTCAGACAGTGCTCGACGTGGTTCCTCTCTCAAGCCTCTACATGTAGAGTATTGGCGTAGATTCAAGACAGTCAGCAGGTCGGAACCTCGTCAGTCCTCTCCCTGAAGAGTCTTGACAAGTCGAATGCCTAGACCCGAACCCTGACGATGCCTGATTTTAACTCGTTTTCTGATGGGGCAATCGTGGACTCACCGGTCGGCTACAGATGCAGAGATGCTCCATGCCACTGGGTTAGATCTCCAAGGCCGTGAACTTCCGTATCTCTTCTGTGCTTCGGATTTTGCAGATGTGGATGGACGCAGAAGTGAGTACGCGTCCGGCGACGCGGTTGTCAATATCAATTCTATTGCTCATGGTTCTTCATGTTCAGGTCCTTTTTTTACTCAGCATAACGCCTGCACATAAGTTCAGTGGCGCCCGATCACAAATGAGCGCCTCACAACAATTCAGGGTGATCAACTTTTTCAATGTATGGTGTGCCTCTTCCAGCCTCAACCAATGCCCAACGTTCCAAGCCAGTAAAATTCGAACGCGCGTGATGTCGCGATGGTCCGCTACCTCCATTTTCCTTCACTGACATATGTTTCGTTTCAAAGCTGGTTAATTATTGCCTTGGAAAGGAAAATTCTTTGCGGGCTCTTTTCGATGTGCACGAGGCTATCGTCCAAGGAATCCAGCTTATGCGCATGCTATACGCTCTGGATATCCGAATTCCGAGTTTTCAGTCGTCCGCAGCCGAGAACCGACGAAAAAAAATTGTGCAAGAGCGTTGGGTGCGTTGGGAACTTCCTTTCTGGGTCATCTGATTGACGTCTGATATCGCTTTTGCAGAGGCGGGTGTCGCGATCCCGACGCATCGCTAGAAACAGATACATACGCGGTTAGAAGAGTTTTCTAGGAACGATGCAGGTTCAAAGAAGGCACATTATCCCCCGATTCCCGACTATTGCACAATCCGGGCAGGTCAGGTAAACCATGATCGTCGCGGGACCGTACCCTAGCCAACATGGTATAAAGCGAGCCCCCAGTGATGCTTCTTCCCCCCCCATTCGCAGCAATGCGTCCATCCACACTCCTTCCTTTCGTTCTTTGCGCACTTGCGTCTCCATCTTTTGCCGCCATTTACACCAAACCATGGCAGCTTCCTAGGATAACTTATGACTACATTATTGTTGGAGGTACGCGTCTTGTCCACCTGGTCGTTTTGACGCTCTAATCAATCCCTTTTCAGCCGGGAATGCTGGCAACGTCTTAGCCCATGCTCTGAGCGCAAACTCCAACACGCAAGTTCTCGTTTTGGAGGCTGGTGTTAGGTAAGTGCCATCTTCATTTTTTCTCAAATTTTGCTTGCTCAACGCGTTTCTGCAGTGATGAGAACGTCCTCCCTGCCATCGCTCCTTTCCTTGGTCCATCCCTAACGCCCAATACTCCGTATGACTGGAATTATACGGTCGCTGCGCAGGAAGGTCTCGACAACCGCGTATTCCCCTACCCTCGAGGAAGGATTTTGGGTGGTTGCACGACTGCAAGTGCGTTGTAACTTTCCTTAAACAATCATCTTCTCACCGGATGCCTTACAGACTATATGGTTCATCACTATGGTTCTAGTGAAGACTATGACAAGCTCGCTGCCATCACAGGCGACAGTAGTTTGAACTGGAGCAACATGAAGAAATACATCCAGCTTGTGAGTTGCCGAAGTGCCGTCCTCAGAGCGATCGCTAATGTATTGGTAAAAACAGCACGAGAAGATTGTTCCTCCCACCGATGGCCACGATACTACCGGCCAATACGATCCTTCGCTGCACAGCACTAGCGGCCAGGTGTCGGTCAGTCTGCCTGGCAACTCCCAGACTATCGACGCCAAGGTTATCGCCACCACTGAGGAATATTCCGAGGAGTTCCCTTTCAACCAGGATATTACCAATGGCAATGTTTTGGGTATCAGTTGGGTCCAAGCCTCCATCGGCAATGGTGTTCGCAGCAGCTCTTCCACCTCCTACCTTCGCAGTGCCAACTCTCGCCCTAATCTCCATGTTCTCATCAACGCCACCGTCCAAAAGGTTTTGCAAACCGGGTTCAAGAACGGCAAGCCTTTGTTCGGCGGTGTCTTGTTCCAGAGCTCGCGCAATCGTGCGTCTTTCATCTTGACCTGTTACATTAGAGACAACTAACAACTTACGATTGTTCTCAGAATTTTTCCCCGGCTTCGTTTTGGCCACAAAGGAAGTCATCCTTTCTGCTGGATCTATCAACACTCCCCAGATTCTGCTGCTCTCCGGAATTGGTCCCCGTGCTGAACTCTCTGCTCTCCGTATCCCCACTATCATCAACAACCCCTCCGTCGGCAAGAATCTTTCGGACCACGTCCTGCTCCCCACCATTTTCAACGTCAACGGCCAGGAATCTCTCGACAACGTTCTCAGGGGTGGTGCTCCTTTGGACGCTGCGCTGAACCAATGGACAACGAGCAAGACTGGTGTGATCGCCAACACTGTCACCAACAACCTCGGCTTCCTTCGTATCCCCAACAACGCCACGATCTTCTCGACTGTCGCTGACCCTGCTACTGGTCCCACTGCCTCTCATTTCGAGTTGATCTTCTGCGTACGTCTCCTCGCAAACTACATGTCTTGACTATGTTCTCTAAACCATTTAACAGAACTTCTGGCTGAACCCCGGTGTCGCTATGCCCGCAACTGGCAGCTTCCTTACCATCATCGCCGCCCTTATTTCGCCGTCTTCCCGTGGATTCGTCAAGCTTGCCTCTGACGACCCCTGGGACAAACCCATCATCGACCCCAAGATGGTCACAACGGCCTTCGACAAGTTCGCCCTCCGCGAGGCCGTCCGCTCCGCGAAGCGCTTCGTCACTGCTTCTGCTTGGGACGACTACGTCATTGGGCCTTACGGTACTACTGCTGGTGAGACTGATGCTGAGCTCGACACCCATGTTCGCCAATTCTCGACCACGGTCTTCCATCCCGTCGGAACTGCTTCCATGTCGGCTCCTAACTCTGGTTGGGGTGTCGTCGACCCCAACTTCAAGGTTAAGGGCGCTGAGGGTCTGCGTGTTGTTGATGCCTCTGTCTGGGTACGTTTTTTGCTCCTTGATCACACGCAATCATTTTTAATGCTACTTTCTTCTTTAACAGCCTCACCTCCCCAACGCTCATACTCAAGGCCCTACCTACCTCATCGCTCAACGAGCTGCCGCCGTCATCAAGGCTGGCCTCTAGATTAAATCGAGAGCCCGTACACTACGTTCCTATACCATCTGACATTCTCTTTCCTCTTCCGATCTTTACATAGGATGGATACTGTACTTTACTCTATTTCGCGCCGGGGTGTAATGTACGGCCGTTGTTAAATAGTTAATTCAATCGTGTTGTTTAAACATTTGATGCTCGAAGAGAAACTTCCATTGAGTCTCGCATACCTCTGAGGTAAGAGGCGTCCTCACATCACGCTGTGATCACTTGTGAAAATTTAAATCTCGAGCATGTCGGTCGCGCTGCGGTCTTGCAGGGTCTTGCGGAGCATCTGACAAGTCTATGAATAATCCATCACACCTGGAAAGCAGCAGTATACGATCCAAGCAATGCTCTATATATTTCTACACATGGCCTGCTACCGTCTCTTCTTCTGGTGGAAGTCAGATTTCGGTGCAGATCGGATGGCACCAATAACCTGCTCTAGGCTGTTATCCGTCGGCTCGTCCTTCGATTTCGATGGCTTTGTGATGGCAGCACGAGTGAGCGGTACATCAGCAAGAGCCGCCTTCTTCGACCTCTTGCCCAGCGCAGAGCTGAAAAGTTCATCAATCTCGTCCCTAGGCCGCGACTTGCGTTTCCGCTTCTTGTCGTTATCTAACAGCGCGGGTGATTCTTCAAGGGGTGTCAACGAAGCTCCACTTTGCGTAGGCCATAGTTTAGAAAGATCTGGTTCAGAGACTCGCTTCTTTTCCGACTGCATGTTCCGCCATTCGTCAGGGCGCCTTTGCAGCAGGTATAAATTCAGGTTTCGCGCGAAAAATTTGCCAAAGAAAGATGCTGCAAGATCTTGTTCGTTCGAAATGAGAGACCGAGCGATTTTTTCCTATATTAATTGGATATATCGTTAAAGTGCAATTGTCTTTTCAAGAAAAAGGAACCAACTTTAAGATAAGTATCAGAAAATGTCCAACACCGATCGCCTACTCGGCTTCCTAGCTTGTCGTCTACGAGCAGGTGGTAGTGGCCGATGAAGTCCATTATAAATTGTCGTTTTGTCTTCGCTGGTACCGTGGGCGCATCAAGCAGGACGTCGTATATACGAGAACCAGCAGCGTTGTGGGCAATCTTGATACGCTCTTCAACTGGTAGCGAAAGGATACTAGCGATTCCGTGAGTTGAGAAGGCCATGATCACATTATTATTCTCTCATTACCTGTCGATTATGAATTGATTATTTGGTTCCGGGAGTCTGAGCAAAGATTGAAGCAATAAGCTACCTTGCACCTTTTGTTCGAGTGGGTGTGAGGTAGTTTGCGTGTGCCGCCTTCCATGATGAGAAGATGGAGGTGGGTTAGGTTCTTCGCAAGTTTTGCTCGCAATTGCGGCTTGATAATCCTGCAGATGACAATCAGTCTGACGCAAATCGACAATGGGAACAGGTTCTCACTGGGAGGGTGTGGAGGGTGAGGATGCATGAGGCGAGCAATTGCTTATTTTCTGAGGCGCCGATGTCGAAGGCTGATGAAACCGCCTGGAATGGGGGTAAGCTTGCATACGACTAGCGTTGGCAGAAAAACCAACCTCCGACAACGACCGTCCCAAAGCAGGGAAAGAGGCAGTTCTGTCGACCACAGACCGCAATACACCGGTCCTCGCAGTCCCTGAAACGAGAAATGTCAATGAATAGCCACGCAGCTACAAGAAACCAGACTAACGGATCGATTTCCCCCATACACCTTCCAACTCTTGGAAGACTTCGGACAACTGTTCCTCCGACACCCTTTCAACGGCTTTTGCGAGCACGAAGTTGCCTACGGGGTGATTTGCAAGTCGAGGAAGCTTTCCCGTGAAATAGACTCTCCATAAAACGTTGAAAACATCATCCGGACAGCGAGAAACAACTGTTTCTAGAACATGAGACGAATTCACATCGCGCAGAAGCATGCCGAGGTAGTCGGATTCCTCAACGTTGGAAGAATCCCCATTGCCTTGAGATCGCATCGTCAGACACGCAGTAAAGGCACGCAGGAGCGAAAACGCACGACATGATGAGACGACACCCACAGTCACCCGGTCCATCAAAGAGCCGGGTTCACTGGACATGCCTTGATCAGCTTCGACCTCCAATAACAGCTAAAACTCTTCTTCAGTGTGCCAATCAACATGGAAGAAGAAATAGCTTCAAACCTTCAACCCAGGACAAGCAACTCGGTTCGCGGCCATCGCACGGGTATCATTGTCATCGAGTTCTGTAGTGACGGCCTCAACGAGGCGTCTGGCCATCTTTGTGAACTCTGGAGGACAGTTCTTAGAGACAGTCTCCTGCAGTTTTCCCTTGCCCTTATCATCAACAAACACAGACTTCATCTGGCCTTGCTTCTCCTTCCATGTCGAACTTTTCTTCGACCGAACGGCCGATTGTGTATTCTCCAAGGCGGCAAGATTTGGTGATAGCAGCAAGAGCAAGCTCCTGACAACGTGAGATGCGAAGGGATCTAAGACAAGGGTTGGGAAGTTCGGAAGGAGTTCCTACACCACCGATGTCAACAAAAGCAGGAGGAATATGCAAGGCTACAAACCTCGCAGAAGTCTAACACGAGATGAGTTAGTGAACGAAGTTCGCCTTTGTCCGGGGAGTCCTCAACAGCGGGCATGATCCCTTTGGTCTATTGAAGGATTGAGGGTGGAGATTTAGAAGCAGAAAAGCGCTTTTACCTCTCTCGCAATGGTGTCTCGGGCGACGGTTAGCAGAGTTTGACAAACATGAGATGCAAATCTGTGTCGCGCGAGTTGTTCGTAGCTAAGCAAAGATATGAGAGGTGTAGACAGGAAAAGTAGTAGGATAACTTACGAACCCGCCAAAGTGTCGAAGAAAACCCTTCGGACGAAGTCATCCATAGAATAAGTCATTCGTTCCAAAATAACTGAGCACTCTGGATCTGTTGCGAGCTGTTTTTCTTTGCCCAGCATCTCATTCAAGGCGGCAACAAAGAATAAGCGCTTTTCTAGGACAAACACATGAGTAGGCGTCTCAACTGAATGCAAAGGAACATACGTTCATTAGGATCGACATCCTCCTCTGCAACTTCGTCTTGGCTATCTTGCCAGTCCCGTATTTGAACATCCACCGTCCTGAAATATGTCTTCACATCGACATCGACGTATCCGAAAGGCGCTTCACGGTTGATTTCTTCCTGCTGGGTTCTGGAAGAGGAGACGATCCAGGAAGGTTCGCTGGGTTCCTGCTGCAGAGGTTCTGGCTCGAGATCCTGTTCCTCTTCGTGGTTGTAGATTTGATCTTCTTGAGGTTGCTTCTTGTGCTTCTTGCCTCGTTTCCTGTGCTCTCGGGGCATGGTGGTGTCTGGGTGACTATTTGAAGGTCGTAGTGACTTCAAAAATAATCTGAAATTCTTAATCGGCGCGCCGAAAACGAAAAGGTGTCACGTGTCATAGAAATCCTCGCACATGACTGGTCCGATTGGCGCGTCTTGGTAGCAGTTTGTGGCGCACTCACCATGAATTTCGGAATCTTGAACAAGTTATATCTTTCTAAGTACATCTAATTACACGTCAATGACATACAGTACAGTTATATACATTCCGAGATACTGTCAAATGATTATTCATAGTTCAAAATATGAGGGTGCTAAGTAGGATAAAAAATGTAAGTACAAGATTGTCCGCGAATATCCACCTAGGGTCCGTCTGCCAGAGATAAGTACATGGTGTCTAATCGGGGTCTAACTGAAATGAGGAAGATACTACAAACGTCACCACCGCCGAGGGATATAATCACACCAAAATTAGCTACAGCGCCCGCAACTTTCGACCTACCGAATGACCAAGCTGTCTATGGACACATCCAGCCCCTCGGTTGACCACGCCTTCACGCGTTTTGATATCTCGGCTACAGCGGGCTTCATGGAAAGCATATGGAAGTGGGTGAGGCTCATGACACCCGTTCTTGCCACAGATGGTCCGAATCTTCTCCATCTTGACTGTATCATGGCGAGGAGCGCGGGGTTCGTGTAACGTTCTCCGCTGCATTGGATATTTGCGCGGTTCAGTTGAGGAAGAAGTGTCTCCTCAGAAGTATGACGCTGGGACTGGTACAACCTCTTCCGTCCCTCCGATGACGACGATGACGATGAGGGTTCTGACGCTACGTGTGTGCACGCCCGGAAAAGGGTGTCAGTGATAGGATCGTGTTCTTGGTCGCTCAAAGAGAACCGCAAGTCCAGTTCGCGGACCTGTGGCACCACCTTCAAGCATTCCATCAGTTCCATGTCGGACAATGGGACGTATGCGAGGCTGAACACGCGGAGCGTCTTTGAAGTCCTCCGAAGGAACGAAAGGAACTCCGGTTGGGAACTTGACCACGTCTGCTGCCCGCTTGACGGCAAGAGCCAGGCCAATCCGAGAGTCTGTAGGTTGGGTGCCGACAATAGGTCGAGGAATTCAACCAGAGAGGCAGCCGCATTGACGTTGGCTGGCAATGGGGTACCGGGGTTACTACCTTGAAGGACGAGGTGTAGCGTTTCGAGAGAGGGGAGGGAGACGCTCTCCCAACGAACCCTTTCTCGGTTCATTGTGCAGGAAATGTTCATCGTGCAATTCTTCAGGTTCTCCGCTTGGGATAAAATGTCGAGACATTGGTCGAGGGTCGGCAAGTGGTTGTTCTCGACTTGCAAATCGATGGAGGTGAGTTGGTTCCATGGCAGGCTCTGGGCCAAAAGGTCCCAAGTCGGCTCGGAGTTCCATAAACCCTTCATCTGAAGAGTCAATGACTGTAATATCGGAAACTCGGAGGGCAGGAGGCTTCGAAGGGGTATCACATTGGCGGCAGGAATAACGAATTCGACGTGCCTCCACCGACGTGCCTCCGGGATGAGGACAGCCAGCAGCTGCGCTGAGCGCGGATCGGCTATGCGAGTTACAGGCACTTGAATCACTCTCACTGTAAGAGGATAGCTCTTCGACCTGGCCAACCATAGCTTCATTGTGCTCAGGACGTGAAAATCGCGTAAGGAGATGGACGTGCCAGACCCCGTGACCTCTATCTCGAATGAGGACCAGAGCTTTGGAGTCGATAACACGAGTGATCTCCACGCGCCGCAAACCCGAGCGATGAGGAGAGGCGCCTCGTTGACATCGAAATGGGGGAAGGGGGGTAGACAATGACTAAAGATCTCGACTTGCAGTTCAATAGGGAGCGAATCGAAAGGAGAGTGTCGATGGTGGGAATGGATCTATAAAACGCGAATCAGCCTTCTGAGCACCGTCGATGTTTCAGATCGTGACGCACTGGTGTTGTAGGCTTGAGTAGTGGAGAAGGTATGCTGGGGTATGATCGCTTGGGCCTTGAACCGGTTGAGAGTTTGTTCAACTGGGAGGGTTCTGGTCGTGGTATTGGTTGATAACGAGGCATGCTGGAGAAATATCGATCAGCTAGGCGAACTCGAAAGCAACTGGGACAACTAACATGAGGTCAGAGGAGGGTCTGAGAGGCAGGACGCGGATCCACTTGCAAGCCGAATTTATAGGCGACAATGATGAGTCGAGCTCCAAACGCCCACGATCCTCTATTTGAACTTGTCCCACGAGAAAGTCTGGCAACCTTGAGGTTCGGCGATTCAAGTGCTGCTGCGTGCGATCGTCAGGACAAAAAGCATTGCCACAATTATAGCCACAATGCCTGCCTGTGTACACACCTAGCTTGTCGTAAGAAATCGACAATGGGGCATTTCTGGTTATGAGTGGGTGTTATAGCTCCTGACGGTGAGTTCATCTAAATGGATCTAGATCGCCTTCTCTAATTGGTCCGGTGCCCATTATAATCGGGCAAGGGCCCCGAAACCAGCTCGCTGCGCCCGGCCGCTGCGACCAGTGCTGGAAGAATAAGCCCAACAGCTTCCTAGCAAAATCGCTTGACTCACCTGCCAGTGCGCCGTGGCCTTCCATTCGGCACGTCTGCCCTCGGGGAGGAAGTAAAGTTGGGCGGAGCTCAGGCCCTAGTCCGCCGTTGACTGCCCTCGCGAACCTGCAACTGTGAAGCACGAAGGAACGCGACGGTTTCCACCAAAACTTCATCACCATAGGCTGAAGCATCCATGAAAGGCAGCCAGAGGGACGATCTACATGACAACTTCAAACCATCAGTCGGCAGCGTGGCCACCTGTGGTTGCATTGGGCCTTTGGACATATTCTGGCGCGCTATGAGCGGCGATTTGCGACACACAAGGTTCTAACGTTGTTGCGTAGGCAATGAGGGTGAAGAGAGAAAAGCGTAGGGTCGGTTTCAAAACAAGCACACATCCTCATGACAGCTGGCAGAATACCAGAGACCACTGGTCTCAGGAACTTACCTCAACGTCAATCCAGACCTTCCAAATCGTCCTGCGATTCCTCCGAGAGCGAGTGTGCCTCGAAACAACACGAAGGCCTCGAAGAGAGCAGCTTGATGGCCGTGATTTTGCCCGTTGGTGAAGTGCAGTCAAGAAAGACGAGAAAAGTAATGCCTCGAGGCGCTCATGATGCTCCGAATTTGGCGAACAAACCTGTTACCTCATTCGAGCGCCTACATGATTGGTGGTTTTTCTTAGACCAGGTCTTTGTCATGTCCAGTCATTGTCAAGCCTGACAATGATTCGAGTCAACAACTCAAATGAACTTTTTCGTTTCTGATCCCCGATTAGTCTGCAATTCGTAGCTCGCTAATGAATGACCTGAACAAGACCTTGGGCGTCAATGTTGTATACATGGTCCCCGCCATTGATAGGCAGCGACATCTTGAAACATGATCCATGTAGCTGCTGGCTTGATGGGCAGACGAAGTCTGAGTGCTCGAATACAGTCGACGATCATTTCAGGTGATTCCACGGAGCCATTTGTCTTCCAATCCGAGAAACAGGCATCTTCACGCCGCCGAAAATATATTTAGCACAAGTAAAACGAAGGAATATGTAACGAAACGCAGAAAACAGATACCTCAGAAGAACTTTCCGAAGTCGTAATCCTCCTGCTCGTCCGCATCTTTGGAGGCAGCAGCAGCAGCAGCAGAGGTTTTCGTTTTCGGTTTCACATTCGCCACCTTCGCCACCTTCAACTTGGGCTCCGAGAGTGCCTTCTTCGCAGTAGCTGCTGCGGACGAAGCGGCTTTCGACGGGGACTTGGCCTTGTGTACAGCCTTTGTGGGTGCAGAGGGGGAGGAGGCCGTAGGCTTGTTAGGCTTCGATAAAATCGAACCTTGTATAGGTTCGAGGGGCCTCTGCTGCGCAGGCTTGCTTCGCTTCGAGGGCCGTTCGAAAGTAACTTTTTTGGTGGGCCGTTCGGGTGCAGGCTTCTCTAGGCCGCGCTTCCGCTTTTGCTTGCTGGATAACGGAGCCTGGATGACCGCATCCTCCTCTGGTTCGCTGTCCTCATTCTGCTCGTCGCCTTCCCCTTCCTTATCCCCTTCCTCCTCATCATTGTCTTCCTCCTCCTCATCGACATCCATACCCCGAAGATCATCAAGCGCATGTTCATCGGCATCACTCTGCTCCTCCTCACTATCCTCCAGGCCAGCCCAATCCTCCTCCACAGCCGCCCGCCGCGCGTCGACGGCGCCCGGCGAAAACCTGACGAGGCCGCCTTTTTTCCGGAGCTCTTTCCTTGTAGGAAGCGCTGCCAAAATGGTGTCGTCCTTGGCATAGAGCTGTGCAAAGTGGGTCCTTATTGTAGAATCCGCGGCTGATTGGGTTTGTGATTTCGAGGACGATCCCTCTGAGGACGTAGCCTCGGCGGCAGACGATGAGTCGGTACCTGTGCTAGTGGGCGCTGGCGGTGTAGAGAAGCGCGCGAGCTTGCCCACACTCCAGTCTCGGAGAACAACGCGGGCTGCGCCGGCCAAATCGAGAGCCCCTCTCTGTTGTTCGAAAGCCAAAATGACCGTTGGTCAGTGTGCGTTCGTGAAGCGTGAGATGTAAACCGCAAGGAGGTCGAGGACAAAGTAAAGTGAAACGCACAAACAGCTTCCGTGGGAAGCATGTACGAAGGAGGAACAAAAAATAGAACGCATACACACCTTTTTCACGAGCTGGTTCGCTCGTGCGACGCCTGACAAGAACGCAGTGGAATCGCCCTTTGCAAACGCAGGAAGGCTATACAAAAGCATAAGATCCTCAGTATTAGCCCTAGACACGATATGCTCGACTACATCGCCAATGAAACGGATCAGCACCTGCCCCGACGAATAGACCAAGACACGTACTTGGAGGGCCGGGGTCCTTTAAGCGGTCTATTCTACCTTTACTTCTGAGCAAAATGTCGCGAGCACGGCTTTGCTGCAGTAATGCAGCGTCGCCGACAACTTCGGAAATGAACGAGAGGCCAGGTGTATCAATGAGGGTTATTTTTTGGTCTTCGAACTCCAAAGAGACCTCTTGGGGTAGTTCGGTGGTCGTAGGGCCTCTAGATGAGGAAGAGGGGGCGTAGACAGGCAGTGCTGCCCTTTTGAGGAGAGAATTGATGAGAGAACTTTTCCCAACCTATCCGGAGGAGAATGAAAACTGTGGTTCAGAACGTAGGGAAGAATGCTCACATTGGCGACACCGACAATAGCCACATTGAGGGGAACGTCTCCGTTCTTCTCTTTGGCCCAATGGGCAAGGCAGGACAATATAGAATCACTGCCAACGGCATCATCTACGGGCACCTTGGCCTTTCCTTTGCCCTTTTTTGGTGCATGCTGAGACGGCGTTGGCGGTTCAGGAAGGAATGAAGATGCCGAACGGAGGAGCAGCGTCGGTTGATCTGCCCTCAAGTGGCCTGTCCAGGCAGACAACGCCTCTCTTGGACATAAGTCTAGAGGGAAAAGAATGAGCTTATAGCATCTCGAAATCCTCAAGTCACCCACCAATCTTATTGACCACGAACAACAATTTTTTGCCATTCTCTTGCGCCAGTTCTTCCACATGTTTACTCCGGTACGCAAGCGGGTCGCGTGAGTCCAGAACCTCGAGGACGACATCCGTCTTCTCCAAGACCGCCTTCAAGTTGGGAAGATCACAATTCACCAGCATGGGCACTTCCTCCTCCTCATCGCTCTCTTCCGCTTCTTCGACCACTGGCTTCGGTCTAGGTTTCAACCCAGTCTTCATGATTTTTGCGCTGAGACTAGCAATACTCTCGGCGCCGACGTTCAAATCCTTCTTTCCCTTTGGCTCGCCAGATTCGTTGTCTTCATCGCCAGAACCAGCGCTGTCTTGGTCTTTGTCGTCGTCCTCTTCCAATCCATCTTCTTCATCTTCGACGACCTCTCCACGGGCAATCGCCCTTGCTCGAGATACAGCCTTTTGCTTCTCTTCCTTCTTCTTCTGTTTCTCGTCTGCTGCCTTGAAAACATGTCTTTACGGAATCTCCACACGAGGCGATGGGAGATGAACTCACCAGTCTCCGCTGCTTAGCTACCTCGGCCAAGATCTGGTCCTTATACGGGAATTCATTGGGAATGCCAGGATCTTTTGACTTCTCTACAAAAAGCGCAAACGATCTCTTTAGTCAGTCAAGGTAGGTCATTGAGATAAATGGTCAAACACGCACTGCTCTTCCACTGAACATTCTTTTTCGCCAGCTTGGCTTTCTTCTTCTTCCCATCGCGGACCTTCTTTTTTAGCTTCGCCCTATCATTGACCTTCACCCGATTGCTGGTCTCTAATTGTCAGGAATGGAGCACAGGACCAGTTGACAGAGTAGATAAACGAGTAGAAAGAAAAAGGCAATCTATCAGTGGGTTCTTGACCGGGAAAGCGCAACAATACTCACTTTTTCTTATGCGAGGCATATTTCAGACCCTAAGTGACGTTTCCAGGCCACTCGTCAGGTAAAGAAGAACTCGACGCTGAACGAAAGCTACAGAGCTATTGAAACTGAAAATCATCTAGAGAGAATGAGCCCACGTGACAGCCTCGGGCATACCGGACCGCCGGTTTGCAGAACCTCGCTTGAAGTTGATGATCGGCACTGTACTAGTCACCTAGCGTTGTTCTCAATTCAGCACATTGTCGCCGACAGCTACGAGCGGTGCTGTTGGGAACAGACATGGACAAGGATGAGTAACGACACGCTATTGTGCTCTGAAGGTATGACAGCCGAGGATACTAATTTTTGGCTTTCACTTCTCCCCTCATCCAGCATCTTCCATTGGCATTTTAAACCCTTTCCTCTCGTACAAGAAGCCACTCAATCACCGAAAGATCGTCCATCAGCAAAGCAGAGTCTGATAAATCATAAATTTTCTGTTTTTCTGTTAGGCGCCCACAAGCCACTTAAAACAGCCTGTGACTTTCGCCGACGACGAGAGCAAGAGAACGACGGGGTCGTCTCCTGATTCTGGAAACGGAGTACAGCCCTGATTCTTCGACATGATGTCTAGTACAGGAGGTGGGATGGGCAGAGATGAAGCTCAGTGAGTCGTCGTTTAACTAGCCTCATTCTCTCATCGTCCTTACCTGTTCTTTTTCCCGCTGCAGCAACCCTAATTGGATTCCCGGTGTCGGGACCCCATTCCCTACGCACCAAGCTGCTTTTTCTCCCGTCCCAGGACCAGCGCTCGCTCCGCCAGGATCACCCTGGCCATATGTCCTCGCCGCTGTCCCCTCCTTGGTTCCCATACAAACGACGACACCTGCTTGGGCGCCAAATATAGGCGCAGGCCTCACTATGAGCCCTGCTGTAATGCAGCCCATGATGCCTGTGTGGCCTCCTGCCGGTGCTGCAGCATTCACCACGCCATGGGGGCCTCCCGAGTCAGGGCCCGGCCCAGGATGGGACGAACCTCTCGCAGATGGGCCTTGGAGTGCTCCGCCCGCACCGTTTCGCGAACTGGGTCCCCCAGACAACCCCTTCGAGAGTATGTCGGGCCAGCCGATCACTCCAGGCTGTTTTGGCGTTGCCGCTGGTGAGGCAAGAGGCGAGCGCAGAAAGCGGAAGAAGAGTCGGAAACGCTCGCGCTCCGTAGACTCCGATCGGTGTATGCACCACCACCCGGCGTGGTGGGGTCATGGTGGATGGGATAGGTGGAACGGGCACGACAGTGCATTGGGTCTGTACGATGAGTATGATCGCCCATATCCGTTTCCTGCGTATGCGCAGGACGACCTTTTCGACGAGCGAAATTTGGCGAGACGCCCAAGGGACTGGAGGGCAGATTATACCCCAAGAGGCATCTCTTTGGCTACATACCTTCCACGTATAGGAAAGGGTCGATCAGACGTCAGAGGTATGTTATCCTCTCTTCTTGTTCTTGCCAATGTATATACTAACCAGACTCTAGAATGGACTGACCCAATCCGTCGAACGCTGGACCCCCTCCTTCTCTGGCAGCCTTCCTCCCCACCCATCCACTTCGACTTGTGCGCCCCGACCTTCTCCCCTGCATCGATCGCGTTCCTCTCCTCCCCCGCTGCTCACCCCGCCAACCCAATCGACTTCTGCCAGCTCGCCGTGCG